GAAATTATGTATGTGCGTGTTTTATTTAGATAATTTAAAAGCGATATAATTTTAGATGAGAGTATCATCTCGATTAATTGATTTTTTGTTTTTCAATTAATTTAATAGACTCTGTTTTAATAGACTCTCTCTTGTTGTGCGTTTTTTTCCATCACTAAGAAATGAAATATAAGTGCTTAATATATATTCTCGTTATATATCGATCGTAAATAATATTTGACGCTTTCGATTAATCTGTGTGTGTCGTAAAAAATAAATTGTTTGGCTCGAATTTCAAAATTTATTTTCGCGCCGTCATTAATTTCACAATCGTCTCGTCAAGTCTCATCCAATGGTGATGTTACAGAGCAATCAAGAGAAAGGACCGTTATCAAATGCGCGGATGTTTCGAAATCCTCCTCTTCCTCCCTCCCTCCCACCTCCTCGACAAAATTTTGTAAAATTAAACACGGAGATGTTTTCGCGTACAGCTGCTCGTGCTTTCGTCGCGCGAAATGCGCAGCACAAATGCGGATCCATTTGCTATGTTAAAATATGCAGACGATAGCCTTTGAAGTCATTTTATCCGATCGCCCATTGTGGAAGCTTTGAGCCGAGTATTCCAGATCGTTTCGCGTCCCGTGCATCTCAAGTTTCTTTGCGAAAGGTTAACCGCTTCCGCTAGCGAGTTTTAATTGCGAGCTTCAATTGCGAACTGTTTCCAATTTAGTAAACATCTACGTGGCAAAGTAATCTCGCGCTAAACCCGTCAACTACGCGTTAAAACGAATATCTTGCGTTCCGAATTTCTCATCGGAATGAAATAAATATGGATCGCGCGCCAGTCAGGATGCTACAAATCAAAAGAGCTATAAAAGGAATATTTTAAATTTGAAAACTAAGGAAGGCAAAGAGAAAGAGAGAACAAAGTACATGGCTTGGCTTTTCTTGTCACGTGCATCTTTCTCAAACGTGAGCGCATGATAAGTAATCGAAAATAAATTCTCCTTTCATTGTTAAATAACGAGTACGATATTCAGGCTATCGAGCAAAGTGCAAAATAACGATTGCACATGCATCTTCTTCCGAAAAAACTCATCGGAATGAAATAAATATGGATCGCGCGCCAGTCAGGATGCTACAAATCAAAAGAGCTATAAAAGGAATATTTTAAATTTGAAAACTAAGGAAGGCAAAGAGAAAGAGAGAACAAAGTACATGGCTTGGCTTTTCTTGTCACGTGCATCTTTCTCAAACGTGAGCGCATGATAAGTAATCGAAAATAAATTCTCCTTTCATTGTTAAATAACGATTCTCCTTTCATTGTTAAATAACGATATTCAGGCTATCGAGCAAAGTGCAAAATAACGATTGCACATGCATCTTCTTCCGAAAAAAAAAAAAAAAATATATATATACATAATACGTGCATGAGAGAATTAATGTGTCGGGTTTTATCATCGATCACACGGGCAAAAGTCGGCGCCTCTGATCGATGGATAAATCGACAATTTCGTCGTGCGCGGTTGTGATAAAACTGTAGGTCGTGTGGGTGGTTTTTCCGGTCCTACATCTTCATGCATGTGCATAAACAATCACCCACGCGGAAACTGCGGTGTGTTCGCGTGGGCGGTGTGTAAAGTCATATTGCGAGGGCGTCCCGCCCTGCATCGCATCGCATCGCATCGTATCGTGTTTATCTATATCGTTCTTGGCAAGCCCGTCACGTTCGTAAGATTTCACTCTCTGTCGCGTGTACATATACGTGTCCGTTTGGAGAAAAAGAAAGACCTAATCCCATCTCACCGTTGTTATCTCGCGGCTTTGTATACAAAGGCGTGTGGCATGATAATAAGATCGGCGCGATTCGGTATCGCGATTTTCGCGCGCGGATCCTGGATTTGGAAGCGATGCGAGCTTGATAGACGAGATAAAATATCACGGAAGACTTGAAATTTATGCATAACTATTTGCGTCGTAAATTTCATATTAGAGGCAGAGTACAAAAATCGACGTAAGATCTCGTAAATCGATATATTCCTATTTCCCAGCAATTTTGATAATGTTACATAATCCTTCATGTTTGAGATCTGTTTTATTTTAATACAATTAAAATGCATGTGTCGAGAAATTGAACAGAATGAACTCGTTCAACCGAGTTTCTTGACTGGAATGATGATATTTTCGACGCTGTCGCGCGCGAAAGAATCTAACTCCGCTTCTTTGGACTCGAATAAGGGAGAATAAAACATGCGGGAAATGCGATGAAAGTCGGGAAAGTAATAAGCGGGTGTCTGTAATCTCGACGGGGAATCGCGAGAGAGCTTGTCGCTAAAACTTTATAAACAGTCCAGTCGGGGAACTCGAATAAACACCGAAAGGCGATAAAAATGTATGATACGGCAGATGCTAGCTAAGAATTGAAAAAAAAGAGGACGGCTTTTTTAATACTGCGTCAAGAATAAAGAATCGAGACGAAAGCTACTGTGAAAAAGCGAGTGGATTTATACTGATAAAATTAAACTGAGCTTTATATAATATATAATAAATGTAATACGTTAATTTTTTTTTTACGGTACATATTTATGAGTCACGACGCGATTTTTTATGAGAAAAAATAATTAGCGATTTTCCGTAAATCATTAATAATAATGCTAGCTTTTAAATCGACTTGTCGCGCTTCTGTTCGTATCGTGCGCTTGTGTCAGCTTGTTACGGAAGCTACATAATCTTCAGCCTCGTTGTAGTTGGCGTTACCTAGCTAGAAGGCTGCCACAACGGGACCTATTCTACTCGACGTCCGACATGATTGCCATCGTGGTTGTCACTCATTGTCAGATTACATGGCTATGTCTCCACTGCTTTTAGCACAGCGGCATTTCGTTAATCTTTCCTGATGTCTATAATGGAGAATATCAAACTGTCTCCCCTTCATTCCCAACAAATGCATTTTAACAAGTATTATATAAATTATTTACAGACAGATTAATAAAATTATTTTATGCTACAAAGCAGGAGAGAGAGAGAGAGAGAGAGAGAATAGGCTTTTTTAAATCGCATAATATCTCTCTCTTTATTATATTTATAAATTTTTTTTTTATTAATTTGGAAAAAAAGTATTTTCTTTAAAACGGTTATTGAAATAGTAATAGTTTTTAATCTGTAAGTAATGAAAGTGAGAAGGTTTCTGTCTCTCTCGTACGCGCGAAATAAGAACAAGATCTTATTCATCATGTAATTTAAAACCGACTTTAACATAATTTTAATTCGACGATTATAGAGTCGTATAAAAAGATATTTAGAGTCATTAAATGTTAAAAAACCGTGAAAGAGAAAGATGAATTAAATTGATCAAAGCGTCTCTCTAAGTAAGAGCAAGCACAGTTGACGGATGTTCTTTTCAATTGTACTTAATAATCGTAAAATTAGATTCTATGTATCCTTAATAACACAAATATAATGCTTAATAATAGCATCATTTTTTATAGCCTATTGATAGGGCAATTCGGGCGATTTATCGTGCACAAACAAGTCGTATCTACGGATGCGCGCGCCGTGTGATAAATCCAACGTGATTAAGTTACGAACGGCGAGATTTATGTGGGGAAATGTAGCGTACAATATGCGGATGGATGGACGGCACATAAATGCCGCAAATTTATCGAGGAAAATGTAAACATTATGAATCTGCTCGTTGCCGTATGAAATTCATCGTTATTCGTTGACTTCTTTTTTTACAAATGTTTAGTCTTATAATATTATATTAATATTCACCTTTAAAATTAATTTTCTCGAGAAATAGCGAGATTAATTAGCACATTTAAAGCGCTTATTTAAATATAATTATATTTAATGAATTACACGTATATATTTTCTTAACGAAACAAATTTCACTGAAAAAAAAGCATGTCATATCTTATTTAAAGCTGAAAAGCGCTTCAAACGTATTAAGTTTAAAACCGATGTTTCCATGCGACACAGAATTACAGTGTATCTGTATAATTAATGTGTACATTTGTTAATTATATTATAATATTGAATTTTGTGCTATTTGTTCATATGCAACAAATTCTCTCACTAGAATCCTAAAAATTTTCGTAATTGCTTTTGCATTTATTCCGTTGTTATCATTCGTGTCATATACATGTTTTTACCGTTAATTAAAATATAATATTTCAATCTGACATTTTTGACACCTTTTTGAAATTTTCCAGCTTCATTTCAAGTCAAGCCGTTTGACTCGGCACAATGTAACGAGGAATTATTTGCGAGGAATAAATAACACGAAATGTTTCGCAATTAATATGCTTTCATCATACGAGGAATAAGATTTTCCGATGTTTTAGTAAACTTGAGAAATACTTTTATGATTAGAGTTCAATAACTTACATAATTTTTCCATTCTTTTATGGAGAAAATAAAGCTTTATTAATCATTGGAAATAATTTAAAAGTATTCTTTTGCATAAAAGCGGACAGGAACTATTATGTTTATGTAAATAAATAATTAATGATTCACTTCGAGTATTGCCAAACGATATAGTTATTCATAAATAAACGTCTTGTACAACGCGAAATAATCTTGTTAATTTCAATTAAACATGTTTATCATAAAATATATGACAATTTTATCAGTTTTTGACAGCATTTCTTAAATTAATTATTATCTATCAGTTTCTAATTAATTAAACCAAAGATGATGATATTAAGATCAGAATCTTTTTTTGCATTTTCTACCAACCATGTAAATCCGCGACAATCGATCGTACAACAAAGCTGGTTCAAACTAATGAAATTCCAGGCAGTGTGTAAAAGAGATACAAACTGGCTGATGTGAGCGCGAGAATAGAAGAGAAGAGAAACGAGCAGTCTCGATCGAACCACAACCAGTTTCTCCAATATTTCATTAAAATTATTTGGAAAACTAGCAAAAAAAAAAAAAAATCGATAGTGACTGCTCGTGGAGGTTGCTTTTATCGATAAATTGGCGCAGTGTGCTCGTTCTATTTCCTTTTTGCTTGCGCCCTTTTTTTTTTTTTTTTTTTTTGCGTCGTCTCTAATTCGTCGTACATAGCTTGAGGAGCTTTGTTCCCGATATATACTTGTATCAGTAGCTATATTTCTAATCCCATTATTATGAAATTAATGAATATATCTGTATACAAAATTTTGTTTCAAGCAAGTAAATTTTTTCTCTTTAATATAATAATATTTTAAACATATATATGTCTACAAAATAAACATATTTTCTTTTTTATTTTATTTCTAGAATATGAAAACATAGATCGATATATATAATATAGATAAATATAGATCGAAACATTTGCAAGTGTTATTCGAATTTATAAATCTGATCTAAATGGTGATTTCATTTATTTAGTATCCTGATTTTCAAATAAAATAATAAATGGAAAGAACATGAATGATATCTTTTGTGGCAGAAAAATTATTTATCTTTTTACTTATGTTAAAATATTCTTTGTATTCTTATAATTTAATAATTATTTATATTTCATATTTCATATTTATTTTAATATTTATTCCATGAGAAATGTTATATAAATAACAGAATATTTGTATTGCCATATTTAGAATACGAATATTATTTATGATAGAATATGAGAGGAAAACACGCACACGTGTGTGGATGTGTGTGTGTAAGACCGTTCAGAATTTTTAATTTCCATATTTGCATGCACATAAACGAGAATTTCGGATTACAGCGAGTTCTTCCACGCCCTTTGATTTTTAGTAAACTATTTTTTATCGTCTCAATCCACATTATCTTAAAATAAAAAATGATTCATCACTCACCGATACGATGTGCAACGACGGAGTGTAGTATACAACGTGGATCTGTAAAATACAAATATATTTAAATTAGAGAGAGAGAGAGAGAGAGCGCAAAGTTTAAAATAACTAATTTTTCACGAAATAATTATTACGGACAATAAAATTTTTTTATTATGCTTTTAAACAGATATTTAATAAAAATAAAATTATATAATTTCCGAAAAAAAATTTACTTAGATATAAACTTTTATTAATTATTAGCGTTTAAAATAGCATTTAACTTGTCAATCAGTCAATTAGTTTCTATTACCAGCGCGATATACCGTATTTGCATAATACGACAATCTTTTGACACTTCTTGATACTTTCGATATTACATGCTTACTTGCAAATAATATTTATTATTGACAATTTAAAATTGTAATATTTTTGGATATAATAAAAAAAAAAAAAAATACTTTTCATGATTTTAATATGTAATACCGTATATAATTATGATTATGATTGTAGCGATGATAGCATTAATTACAGCAATGGGCTGATTCCGCTTCGACACTCATTTGATCGATCGAGATTTAATCTGTATCACACGCACGTACACATTTTATGCCCGAAATAACCGCGCGCGATACATTACTAAATCGGGCATTGTAGTCCAATTCCGAGATTCCGAGATGTATGACGCGCGAATGCAATATGGCTGTCATGACGTCATTGACGGAACCGCTCGTGGAATCGGACTAGCGCGAACGAAATCGGGAATCAAGATGTCGCCGAGTGCGCGTTTACAGTGTATTGCTTCGCGATCATTTGTGGCCTTGATTGTTTGTGCTGGAGGTATAATCGTGTTCGAGTGCCGAGAACCATGAGTATCGAAGGAACGGAATTAGTGATCGCTGTAATTAATGCTGTCTGAACGCTATTGCCATAATTATATCACGTTATGATACTACGGTTGTAATATTCTACGATACTAGTCGTAATCGATCATTTATCTCGTCGTATTTGAGTTACACATTGTAGATCGTATATAAAAAATCGTGAATAAATATCATCTTTAAATAAGCGTGTAATATCGGGAGCGCTGAAAATAATATCGGGCGATCGTTATACAATATTATATACCTTGATACAGTTATATCGCATCGGGGGAACATGCAACGGTTTCGTCGAAAATCTCTGCGTTCAGTAGCATCATTATTAAAGTGAGTATTAATACAAAATTATCGAGAAATTAAGTTAAATATATTTCGCGAGCAAACATATGGTATTAGAAATATCGAAAGAAATGTCAGGCTATCGTATTATGCTCAATATCATGGTAGTGTGATTATTTTGTGTTCCGTGAATCTCGCGTAATTGCAATTTAAAGCGCGCGCATGCATATGTATATGCGCGCACGCACGCACACATACATTATTAATTATATTAGTAAATATTTTATTATTATTATTATAGAATATATAGAATTTTTGATTTGGCTTATATCGATCTAAATTCTAATCATGCAAGACTTTTATTAATTTGATAGACTAAAATATTGAAAAACTTCTCTATTTAAAATTTTTATTGCAATTTAATATCGAGATTACAAATATTTTTTAAAATATAATTGTTATTTCTAAAGTAATTAACTTTTTAATAAATCTTTTTATTGTATGAAAAAAAGATTTATTATAGAAATTAATGTTTGTATATAATTACACTTCAAAGTTTATAAAATTTATTCCGCTCAATATATTAAACACAAATTTAATTTTTTTAACATATTTAAAAAATTTATTAATTTTAAAAATTATAGAACTCTACAGAGAGAGGAGA